CATGAGGGAACGATCTACAATGGAATAGAATGGAGAATGACTACATGATTTTTGCCCTTCCTTTCATTAACAGGGTTAGATCACTCTGATTTGCACATATAAACCCTGCTTACTTCCCTGAATCTCAATTGAACATGTTGAATTCTCTCCAATGTTCTGCCTTAGTGTGCTAGTGTCTTCATGAAAAGTTTGGCATCTACACACTGAAGGATGTTGCGTGCCGTTTTCGATATTAACAGACACGGAAGACAAGAAACAGGACTTTTAATTGGTGGCTCCAGAGAATAAGACAAATGTCAACACAAAGATGAGGCTGATGGCACGAAACCTTTAACACAACAAAACCTTTAATCAAACAAAATATTTTCTCCCATTCAGTAGAGTAAAGGAAGCTACGTAGCAGAAACATCTTTAGAAATGAAAAAAGGAGTGGTTTCTACTATCCAGACTTAAATAGACTATTCATATAATGCTGATTGATAGGGATTGAACCCAGAGCCTGTGCACGATCTACAAGCGATACATCATAGTTTCACATGCACACTCTTTTTATTGTCAGTATTTTTATTTTATGTGTATGAGTGTATTGCCTGCAGGTGTAGACGTGAACCCGTGTCATGCAATGCCCGAGGAAGGCAAAACTTGTAGAAGACGGTGTGAATACCCTGGAACAGGAGTTATGGGTGGATGTCAGCTGCCATGTGGGTGCTGGGAATCAAACCCAGGTGTTCTTGGCTGAGCCATCTCTCCAGCCCCACATGCACACTCTTAAGACATGAGTGATGCTTAGTGACATTCAAAGAGCAGTGTATGGAGAGGAGGGAAAGTGACGTGACTGCACTGCCCTAGAAAACACTGCCTCAACCTATGATCGGGCTAACTGAAATGATGTCGAAGGTGTGCACTTCACATGAGTGATGCTTAGTGACATTCAAAGAGCAGTGTATGGAGAGGAGGGAAGGTGAAGTGACTGCCCTAGAAAACACTGCCTCAACCTATGATCGGGCTAACTGAAATGGTGTTGAAGGTGTGCACTTTTCATGCAACCTGATAGAAGGCATGTCACCGCTGTTGTGCCGTGTTTCATTAAGGATTCGGGAAATATCAGACAAACTCAGATTTAGGAATATGTCACAAAAATCCTGGCTAGCACAACTCAGAAACTGTCAGACATCAAGGATGAGGGAAGCCTGAGAAGGTTTAGATGAGGAAGTCTGGAGGAAACTCGGGAGAACTAATAGCTGAAGGAATGCAGTATCTTTGAATGGACCGTGGACACAAGGACACTTCTGAAAAACGGGTGAAATCAAGCCTGAGTTGGCTGAAGAAGAAAACAGACCCAGTGGAGGAAAAGGCAGAGTTTGGGACACATCAAACAAACAAATGTAGGAAACGCTAAAAAATAGTCACTGAGATGTGGCAAGCAGATGGAAGGCACAGTGAAAGGAAACATTGTAGGTGAAACATCCTCATCAATCTACAGGAGAGCTGTTCTCTGAGAAAAGAACCCACACATGCTCTGACCCAGGGCACATAGCTGTCTCAGAGGAATTTCTAGTCTACCACTGAAGCAGAGACAGTTGCTCAGACAACCCCATGTGCTTCCAACAAAGCCAAATCCTAATGGTGAAAGTGCTCCTCCCTCCACCCTCTCACAGGGGGAGTGCGAGGTCTTCCACTGGTTGTCACATGAAATGTCTATTTGAACTAGATAAGAAAGCGCTTCTAAATGAAGAAACTACTGCCCCACTACACACTCAGACTTTGTATGACAACACGCACACAGGAGAACAAATTCTCCCATTGACCCTTTGCTCCCAGTAGACAGAAAGGCAACAAGATCCAAAGACTGTGCAGAGTAGGCATCTTCCTCCCCAGTCCTTCCCATCCTGCCCTCCACATAACTCTACTTACACACAAGGCTCCTAAAAAGGGGTAAGTGGACTTTAACAGGATGGAGTACACTGAAGTAAAATGTGGGGCCATGAAAGCAGACGCTAAAACGATCCCCAGACAGAACACCATGACACCACACATAATCTGGATCGTCTGTTGGGAGAAGAGAGGTTGAGGATTACAAACTATCAGTGAAAGATGGGGCTTTTCCCCTTCTGCCATTGTGCTCAGGCATTGTGACCTTCTACAATATTCCAGTGAGAATGCAAACTCTGTAAAAGATCTTGGGTGAGAGACAGGAAAATTCATTCTGGAGGGTATGCAGTGCTGCCACATCTTCAGCCCACTTTCAGACATTTCTGCCTCTTAAGCTTTGGACCAGTCCTGACCTCTGCTCCCAGCTCCTGGCACATGCTAAGCATTCTGAGTCCACGGTGAGCAAGGCTCCTGCTCCCTCTTATGGGAAGCTCCTCCCCATATCCCTCAGAGCCCACTGATCACAACAGAGTCAAGCTCTCTGGCCAGCTCCGTAGCTTCTTCCTAGTCTGAGGAGCCCAAGGCTCTATAGTAAGAAAGAAGTTTTGCCTTCCTAACATCTGCCTTCATCTCATGGACTCACAACTGTTTTAATAATGATTAACTGATTTTCTAAACCTTTTGTTGTATGAACCTCATAGGAACTCATGAGTTTTTATATCCAAAGCAAGGTAATCAGTTCTATCAGGTAGCACAGAGACCTGCATAGGTCATGTTAGTGCAGAGACAGCTTTGAAAACCACATCTCAGTCTTTCCACTCAGTCCTAGATAAGTTTGCTCTCATTGCCTCCTCTTGACTAACAGCTTCTTTAATAAGTCCTGGATGAGACCAGAGAGACAAACAAAAGATATAGATAGATGATAGATGATGATGATAGATGATAGATAGATAGATAGATAGATAGATAGATAGATAGATAGATAGATAGATGATAGATAGATAGATGATAGATAGATGATAGGTAGGTAGATAGATAGATAGATAGATGGATGATAAATGATAGATGAAATCTCTGTTCTCCAAAGAAGAAAAGGAAAGAGAAGAAGGTATGTTTTTTCTATAATTATCAGTAAGAGCAAAGATCCCTTTGGAAAATCAGTATGTACTATTAAGTACACAAATGGTGAATATCTGTATCTATATCTATCATCTGTCTATAATGTAATTATCACTATTTTCATAAAAGAAAATATTAGAAACTATTCTGTAAAAATGGGAAAACAGTAGCTATGACAACAAAAACTCAATGGCTCATCTTCAGAAGAAAGGAAAAATATTTATCATTTTGTGAAATGTAAGCATCTCTCCAATGGGCTTCTACTGTCTTCATCTGACAAAACCTAACACTGTTCACACACACACACACACACACACACACACACACACACACACAAAAGATCTCTAGTCCTAGGACACAATGTCTCCTCCCTCTGCCCTCCATGTCCTCCCCCCAGAATGTTCTGAGTTAGATTTACCGCCATCACTTTGACCTCTGCCTTTAAAGATTTCTTCAGGCTATCCTGACTCTGGTGGGTAGGTTGAGGTTTGCTTGCTTGGGGAAAAATGATTCCATTTGATGTAATCACCGTAACATCTTCATTGGTCATTATTTGTGATATCATGATGGGGCTTTGCACAGCTGGGAAAGAAAATAAACTCAGCTGTTTAAAAGAACTTTGTTCCCAGCTTACGACTCTCAAATCTGTAGATGAGTATTTGTACCAGAATGCAGTTTTGACCTGCTCTTTAAGGGAGACACTGGTAATACAGAGAAGTGAAAAACCACAAAAACCTTGGAATCAAGAGGACATTTTCCATAATATTTGACACAGTCTTCTGATTTTAGTTAATAAACGGATTACAAGAAGGAACAGCTTGACTCCTGAGAGGGTCAGGGGGTTCATAGACAAATGTAGCCATCTCCCTCTGCCAATGTGCCCTTGTCCAAGTGCATTGCTTTTCATTTGATGAATTTCACCCTCAAATTTCTCTTCCGGTCCTTCAGTCTTTTCCAATTCATGTTATATACTATACAAACCACATAACTTCATTGATTTTTTTGTCGACTAGTATTATTTTAGTATTAATGCTACATATTTCATCATGTTTTTTTTTCTTTTTTTTCTTTTGGTCTTTTTGAGACAGGGTCTCCCTGTAGCCCCAGCTGTCCTGGAGCTCACTATGCAGACCAGGCTGGCCCTGCTCATCATGTTTTAATAGACATTATCTGTCAGAGATTTTGGTTCTCATAACAATTCTTTGTTAGACAATGAGCAAAATTATAACCATTAAAGAAATAATACCTACTTTGTAAAATGACATAGAATCAATGCTAACTAAATATGAAAGTTTTCATTATTAGTCAGCCACCCAAACAAGATTAGGTCCTGGACCTAATGGATGGGTGGATCAGCTATCCATCCCTAAGTCTGGCACTGTTGCAGAATTTTCCAGATAATTATCCTTTTATTTTCCCACCTGCCAATGGCAGCCTGTGTCTGAGTTTATTCAGCCTAGGAGAGCAGGTACATGCAGTGATACGAGAAGTCGTGGTGTCAGAACCCAAGGTCAAGGCCAGGACCATCCTCTTGTCAATCTAAGGACGGAGCTGCCTGTGAAATTAGTTGCTGAAAAGAAAAACTTTTCCAGCATTGCTTACCTGAGTCTGTGGCCCTTCCTGTTAGTAACAGCTGAGCTGTCAGGAACCCCGGAGAGCTTTTAACTCTAGTTTTTTGGATTCCAGTCCTCGGTTCCTTTGCGGTCTCCTAACAGTCACCAACCCCTTCTTACTTCAGTGTTTACTGCTGCACAGGATGTGAAACTTACAGATTGTAGATGGGTGAAATGTGTTGTACTTCCTTCTTCATAAAATCCTAGTACTCAAATAACTCCCTAGTGGAAACAACAGTGCTGGGACAGTGCGGGTCCTGAGCCCCAGTGTCTGACAGCTCCGTGCAAACACAAGTCTATGTTCTCAAATCTCATTTTCTATGTGTTAAATGGAGAACAGCACTGACCCTGCATTGTTATAAAGATAGAAGAAAATGTTTTTAAAGGCTTGTCTTATTTCTAAAGAGCATTTACTAAAATGTCACATGACTAATAATATTGCTAGGAATAGCAATATTGATAAATAAAATGTTTCATAATCTATAATAAGCTAAATAATAAGAGTAATCACTATCTTATGACTTATAAGGAGTGTTCAATAACCTATAAATAATAATATTTTTAAATGAGCATAGAAAAATATTTTTGTTACTCTGTTACATATATACATTTATTTTTTCTTTTAACGATTCCTCAGCCCGTGGACAGGCTGCAAGCAGCCTTTGTTTCTTAACTTTTTGAAAAAATTTTATTATTGTTTTTATTTTATGTGTATGTGTGTATTGCCTGCATGTAGGTAAGTGTACCCATGTCATGCAATGCCCACGGAGGTCAGAAGAGGCTGTCAGATCCCCTGGGACTGGAGTTATGGACAGTTGTTAGCTGCCATGTTGGGTGCTGGGATTCTAACCTGGGTCTTCTGCAAAAACAGTCAGTGTTCTTAAGCACTGAGCCATCTCTCCAGCCCCTGCAAGCAGCCTTTTTTTTTTTTTTTTTTTTTTTGTCTTTTTGAGACAGGGTCTCCTTGTAGCCCCAGCTTTCCTGGAACTCACTATGTAGGCTGGGTTGGCCACAAACTCACAAATATCCGCCTGCCTCTGCCTCCCAAGTGCTGGGATTAAAGGCGTGCACCACCAAGGCAGCCTTTTAATAATCCTTGACTTACCGTTGTCTACTGTAGAATCTTCTTCGTTTATTTCATATAAGCTTAGACCTGTAGATTAATAGACCTTGCCCCCAGCAGTGGAGGTACACTGAGAAAAGGCTAGATGCCTCAAGGAAACTAGTGAGTCAGGAGGAGGAACAAGTGGGGAAGGAGCAACACCACCTGAATAGTTACAGGAAGGATTTAGGAAGACAAGGGTGGACCCTGTTTGGAAACCAACTTTGATGTAACTGTACAGGGGAACCAGACCCAGTTGCTGTAACTACATAGCCATACTCTGGAAATTTCCTCCTTTCCTAATAACCTGCCAGAGAGAACCTATGAGGCCAACATGAGCTGTCTCTGTCATGTAAGTCTGTGGTGGGCTCTGCATGTCTCACATGAACTCGTCTGCTAAAAAGAGAAGTTAAAAACCTAGCGTGGTGGCTTTAATCCTAGGACTCTGGAGGCAGAAGCAAGCAGATCTCTGTGAGATCAAGGCCAGCCTAGTCTCCAGGAAGTTGGTACTACAGGGAGACCCTGTCTCAAAAAGACCAAATGAGAGAGAGAGAGAGAGAGAGAGAGAGAGAGAGAGAGAGAGAGAGAGAGAGAGACGAGCTGGGTTTACATGGGGAGACTTTGTCGGAGAGGGGAGAGAGAGAGAGAGAGAGAGAGAGAGAGAGAGAGAGAGAGAGAGATAACAAAAACAAACAAACATGGAGTTAAAACATGTCATTTTGAAGGTTGGCTTTGTCTTGGGCCAGATTAGCTCAGATTAGACATTTCCCATAATATTTGACACAGTTCTGGTTTTAAGTAATAAATGAATTACAAGAAGGGAAAGCATGACTCCTGAAAGGCCCAAGTATTCATGGACAAATGTAGCCATCTCCCTTCAAATGCTCTAAACAAAAAGCTCCATCCTCTAGTCTCAGTTTCGTTCCATCCAACCTTTACATTCTTAGTTGTTTCCTGAATCTGAGGTCATCACCCTAACCAAAAGGCAAAAGACAAATATAATAATAACACAACATTGATTAGTCCTCCAAAATTTCTCATAAGAAAGTTCTAACATAGAAAACTCCTTGTTATAGGGGACTGTCTAGTGTACTACAGGATGTTTAATAGAGTCCCTGATACTTGTTCAGTCTTCATCCGAGTTGTGAGAAGAAGAAGTATTAGCAAGTATTACCAAATGTCTACCAGTGGAGGAAAAAAAAAATGCTCATTGGTCTAGGGGCAGGACTATTTTCTCACAAAAGGATGACTTCTACTTAACTGTAGGTATGGGAAAAAAATCACCATTATTTTTTATTTTTTATTTTAAAGTTCTTTATTGTTTTTTTTCATTTCTTTTACGGAAAATGGCAGTATTCTAAATACATTTCAAATTGAGTTTAGAGTTATTTTTCAGGAATCTGATATAATTTATAAATATGAAATAGCATAAAATGGTGCCTGGGATTCTCTGTATTACTTGTGTGCAGGTGACAAATGAATCATTAAGACCCTAAAATAAAAATTAAATTTTAAAGTAGCACATAAACAACAGAAGAAAGTGATAAATTTTTCATGTACAAAAGACAAGAAGGATTGAGCCAATCTGTATTCTTGGTAGTCTAATGCATTTATTGGCTAAGGGCATTTTTTTGTTCTCATTTTTTATTAGTTCTTTGAGAATTTTAGACAATGTATTTTGATCATAACTCTACCGCAAATCCTACAAGATCCACAGCCCCCTTCGTACACACATAACTTGTCCTCTTTTTGATTTTCTTTTAAATCCATTGAGTCCAGTTCATGTTGACCATATACTTTTGGATGTGTGCTCATTCACTGGAGCATGATAAACTGATCAGAGGGCAAACCCTTAAAAAAACTGACACCCACCCCCCTTCTCAGAAGCTATTAATTGCAATAGCTCCTCAGCTAACACGGAACACTATGCCTAACTGCTCTGTCCATGCTTGGATTTTGTCCGGCTTGAGCTTACATAAGTCTTGTGTGTGCTGTCGCAGCTGCTGTGATAGACATGTAACCACCCTGCCCTCTGGGAAACACCATTTTCCTATATTCATCCACCACCTCCGGCTCTTACAGTCTTTTTGTCCCCTCTTTTGAAATGATCCCTAAGCCTTTGTAGGAGGGGGTGTGATAGAGCTCTCCTATTTATGGCTGAGAGCTCTGTAGTCTGTTGTTCTCTGCACCCTCCATCAGTTGTGGGTCTCTGTGTTAGTAGCCATCTACTGCAAAAAGAAGCATCTCTAGTGAAGTTTGGGAGGTGAATATAGCAATCTACAAGTACAGCAGTAAGTCATTATGGGTCAGTTTAATGCTGTGTTCATTTAGCAGAATAGTAGTGATAGACCCTTCCCTGGGGCCTTTGATCTGTCTATCCATAGGTTCTTGTTTCTTATAATGGTGTCAGGTATCGGCTCCATTTTGTGGAGCAGGCCTTAAAGCCAAACAGAAGGTGGTTGGTTACTCCTGTGACATTCATGTCATGACTGCTAAGAATCTACCACACCACCCAGCTAGCTATACCACTCCTGAGCCAAAGGATTCTATATCTTACTACAGAGATACCTGTTCATCCATGTCCATTGTTGCTCTATTCAGTTTCCGGGAAATGGAAACAACCTAGATGTCCATCAGCTGATGAATGGATAATCAAAATGTGGTACAGTTACACAATGGAATATTATTCAGCTGTTAATAAACATGAATTATGAAATTTGCAGGTAAATAGATAAGTTGGAAACAATCATTGTGAGTGGAATTACCCAGACCCAGAAAGACAGGGCCACATGTTTTCTCTCATTTGTAGGTATTATCTGAATGTATAGATATATGCATTTCAATTGGACTATCCATAGAGGTGAGAAAATTAATAAAGGCTGGGGGGTCAAGAGAGAGGAGATAGAATGCAGGTGGTATAAATGGGAATGATGAAACAGGAAGGGTTAAATGGGGTGGGGAATGGGAGGACAGAGGAGTGGAAAGACTACAAAGAGGGAAACAAACTAAAACCTTTAGAAAAAGTCACGTAGAAACCTACTATTAAATGCCCTAAAATATATCATGTATACAAAGAATTTAACATGAAGTTAAATTATAAATTATGATGGGGCAACAGTGCCCCTACTAGTTGTCAGAGGCTAACAAATAAAAAGCCGAGTGCCAAGAATGGTTTACGCCTTTGGGAGTTATTGGTCAGTGAGGTCCTATTGATCCCCAGACACTACAGGCTACTGCGAATGCTCTTGGTTACCCTCCAACACTTGACAGGAAGACTCTACTGCTGAAGACACCACATGCTTGGCTTGAGCCACAGAACACGGAGAAACCAAGCTGTACAGATTTGGAAGCTTCACCCCTACTGAATAGTTTTCATGGTGCTAGAAGGTTATATGAATGCTACCTAGGAGAAAAACAATCATCCACTTTATCCAGCTGTGTACCCTGAAAGCTACAAAAATGACGTGCCTGGAGAGACATGCCCACTGGTGCACCAGTGGCATGAATGTCCTGGACACATTTCTCTTTCTAAGTCGAAACGATTTCTTGATTTTTGTCGTTTTAATTGTGTCTATAGTACATATAATTCAACATGTGGAGTGTATAGTCGGTGCTAATTGAAGTCTTATTGTTTGTTGTGTAGATAGTTCCTCTGAATTGAAACATTCTCTCCTTGAAGGTGTAAGGAGAGTTGAAGCTCAGTGTGGGGAAATGGGCTGGTAAATACTTCCATTATTCAGGCTAACCTAAAACCTGCCATAAAGCACAACATCAAATGACAAAACAGAGGACAACGTGCCGCACCAACGAAGAGGAGACACATAGCCAAATGGACCAATGAGGATCGGGCGGGGGCGGGGGGGGGTTATAAAAGAAAGCCCTAAGGACAAAATAAACAGGCTTCCTGGCGTCTTGCTGATGACTAGTATCTCCCGAGATCTGTGTGGTTGATCTCGCGCCTACTCCCCCCCCCACCCCAGACAGAGGTCTAGAGCCACAACAGACAGCAACAGTTCAGGAAAATAAGGAGACTTACAAGATGGGGAGTTC